CTGGATCCCACCTGCCTGGATCTCACCTGCATGGGTCCCACCTGCCTGGATCCCACCTGCCTGGATTCCACCTGCCTGGGTTCCACCTGCCTGGATCTCACCTGTCTGGATCCCACCTGCCTGGGTCCCACCTGCCTGGATCCCACTTGCCTAGGTCCTACCTGCCTGCATCCCACCTGCCTCCAGTCCATCTGCAATGACCAAATAGGAGGCTGCTGGGCAGGAAGTGCCCAACGCCCATGTGGGTCTCCTGTTCCTTTCCAAACAATGTATAATCACAGCAAGATGGTGCAACTAGGAGTTGGCAGGTTTGGTGGGAAGACAGAAAGGCAGAAGAAAAGGTGAAAAGCAGGACACAGGAGGTGAAGGGAGCGAGAGAGACAGGAAGGAGAGAAGKGTCTGAGCCAAGTCAAGCACCCTCGGTGGCATCCCTGGGTGCACATGCGCCCACCTCACCACTGATCCCCCAGTGCCCACTCATCCAGGCCCGGGGCAGCTTCACCTTTCCCAACACCCCCAGCCATGGAGCTTCTCCCTCCCGTCAGCTCCCAGAGGACAGCCACCTGATTGGGATCGGRTTTTGTTGGTATTCTTGCTCTCTCTTTCCAGCCTACATACCCATCCTCCCTTTAGAGGAAGCACCTCCTGAGGGCAGGGAGTGGGGTGGGAACCGGGCACTAGTCCTAAGGTCTTGTACCCTGCTGCTGCTCAGTAAATGCCTGCCAGAGAGGAAGGATAGCCAAGGCTACGGCAAGGTCAACTGGGGATCTGAACAAGACTGGAAATCATGTTGTAAAGGCACAGAGAGCAGGTGTTGGTCAGTCTCCACCACTCTAGCAGGAAAAGGAGAAAGAGGAAGAGGAGCCTGCAGGACTCCCCCTGCAGGTGGAAGCCACTGGAGACCGGGTGCTGATGTAAAGCACATGTGCACAAAAAGAATACAGAAGGGAAAGAATATGGGCCACTCACCCAGAGGAAAGGGGAGGGGTCTTGTCTCTGCTGAACAGAAGGAAAAGAGAGCCTCCAGTCCAATCCCAGCTCTAATGCTCTCCTGATGGTTGGGGTAGTCACTGTCCCTCCCTCAGCCCCAGATTACCCATTGGAAAATAAGGACTAGGACAAGAGGTCCTGTCTTCAGTGACACCAGGTGACAACAGCCATTCAAGTTAATCCCAAGATAGGAGTATTACCTTTCAGAAAATGAAACTTTTTCAAAAAGCTAGCRGCCACAAAGGAGTCACAGAGGTACAGCAGCAGCCCACTGAACATGAGGTCCGAGCAGCTGATGTTCAGAGAGTGGGGCCTGGAGCTCACGTAGCAGACAGAGATCTGCAAGAGAAGMAGTCCAAGAGAAACATCGCTTTCCACGAGCACTCCACATTGCTGCGCCAGGGACTGAGCTCTAACCAATTCTACCTGCTTGGACCAGCTGGCCATGGGAGGGAGGCAAGGAACAGATTCAGGGTATTTCCAAATCTATATGCTAAAACTCAGTTCTAGGAGATTTATCCAGATTTGTCTATTCGTGAGTTCCTTTAAGAATCAGAAATGTCTTGACATCAGAATTAGGTTTGATTTCTAACATCTATGTGGGCAAACTAACCCCCACAATTCTGTCAGCTCTCAAGTGGGGTAAATACCTACGACCAAGCACTGAGTACAATTAGCCCTAAGTACCTGAGGTTGCATCGGTCAGTGTCTACAGAGTCAACAGACAACTGATGGAAAATACTTGGAGGAAAACTTTGTGTCTGTACAGAACACATTCAGACTTCCTTCCTGGTTATTATGCCCTAAACCATGCAGTGTAACAACTAAGCACACAGCACTTACAATGCATTAGGTATGACAAGTCACCTAGAAGGGTACAAGAGGACATGCATAGGTTACATGCAATATCACAGAAAGGACGTGAGTGTCTGCAGATCTTGGTACCCATGGGTTCCTGGAGCAAATCCCCATGGAAACCAAGGCACCTGTGGTCATGGTTCAGAGTCCTGGATGCTAATCCACCTGCTCTAGGGGTTCCTCTCCCCGAGTTACCTGAGACCCCAGGTTAAGGTAGCAGTCCACGGACAGCACGGGGTGGCTGTGGTTCTTCAGGGAGAGTGGGAAGAAGCGCTGGCTGTGGTGCTGSAGGAACTTCTCCAGTAGGAGCTGGGCCGGGGCCGCCAGGAACGTGTGCTTGCTGTCGGGGGCACAGATGTACTGGGCCGGCACGACCGCCGCGGAGCTATCAGACACCTGCGTGGGGAGGATGGACCTCAGGCACCCCTGCCCCTAGGAGAGACGCCCCCCATCTGTATCCAGCCACAGGAAGCCCTGGGCCCAGGAAGGTTCTGTCCCTTAGGGCAGTGATGCAAATTGAGAGAACACACTTCAAGAGTAAAGTTCTGTTAGGAAAAATCAGGTTGTCACAAAGAAGGCCTGTGAACACAGACCAACGAGGTCAGTAAGAACTGTAGCCATTGATCATTCTGTGCAGAATACCGGCTGTCTGGTCCAAAGAAAACGGGAGAACCCCTGGGCCTTGAGAACTCTTCCATGGCTCACAGATGCAAGCGTCTGGGAGTAGCAGGCTCGCCCTGACCCCAAGGTCCTCTCTGCACCCCAGCTCTCCCTCCTCGCTGCCTGGTCATCCCAGCCTGCCAGCCCTCCCTCGGTCACCAGCACTTCTCCACACTGCAGCCCCCACTTGCTGGCTCCTCCTCTTTCTCCTCTGCCTCAATGCAGGTGCTCTGTCCTCCAGGTCTCTCGGGGGGCRCCCTACATGCCCCCCACCCCTGCTGCATGAGGTCCCCCTGCAACACACGCTTCACCTTTGTGATGCTTCTCACAAAGGCGCTTCACTGGAGGTTCGTCTAAGGTCTGCCTCAGCTGCGAGCCGCGCACTCTGAGAGGAGACTGAGGCTCGGTACATACTTAATTAAGTGGGTGAAAATAACTACGTGGTTTCACTCACATGAAAGATGATAAAACAATAGTGGCTTTCCTATATGTAATCAATATGCAATTACGTCTAGCAGAAAATAGAATTACGCTCAGTATAGAAATAAAGATAAAAGATCTAAGAGTTTAAAAGTGACACTGAGAAACCAAAGAAAAATTCATCTGAAAGGCATATCAGGCAGACTCACTGAGGTCAAAAACTCAATTCTCCATAAATCAAGCCTCAAATTTAACACAATTTCCAGTTTAGAAACCTCAATCACGGTAGCAGTTGGGGTTCAACTCCATGACTCCCCAGCTCTTCTGTAGGACAGGCTACCTTGAGGGTCCTGCTACTTGGCAGGAGAACTCAGGATGGAGGGAGCCGCAGCCTCTGCCTGTGCAGTCGCTGGGCAGAGCTGGCGTCTGGATGCAGGCCTGGCCCAGCTCAGGGTAGGTCTCCATGCAGGGGGTTAGAGCAGACCAGGAGGGACAGAGGCTGGGAAAGGCAACTGGCATCAGAACTGGCAGACATCATCAGTGAGAGATTGGAGACAGACAGGAGGCGACCAACAGGAGTCAAAAGAACCCGCAGGCAGAGCTAGGCCAGCCTGCCTGGGTTCCTGAAGATGGAACTCTCTAGCCACCTAAATTACCAGGGCTTGGCCAGGGAGGGCTCAGAGCAACTGTCATACGCCTGTCCCCCAGAGGCTGGCTTGTGGACAAACAGCATGGCCATCAAGCTGGCATCTTGTGCCACACARATGCTTCTGTACCATCCCAAGAGCCTGGAGAGGAGCGTGGTGCCATAGCTAACTCTGCAGGGGCAGGGGGGAAGGCAGGGGCACATGCCAAAGGCTTGGCAGTTGTCTTGCATTTGACAGTGGCTTACAGGATGCTGGTTAGAGCTGGAGAGAAGAGCAACTTCCCGGGTGCCATCTTGTCATCTTTGCTGACACTGCCTGGTGGTGACCGAGGCAGGCCCCAACAGTCCCGCCCTCAGCCTTCACACCGAGGCAGCCCGGGTGGCAGACCTACACAGCCTGCTGGACACCGTGGCCACGCTCACCTTGGAGGTGATGTGGAAGGACCTGTGTCCACCCACCGCGATCTGCTTCTTCATCACGCTGAAGCGGTTGAACCTGCAGAGCAGGAGGCCGGCGCTGTGCACCCGCAGGTTGAAGTCCACATCGTCACACGTGAACCTGGGGAGGAGCAGATCCGATGGGGCACAGCTCACGTGCCCCCCAACACCTGGAGATCTGGAGCAGGACCCTGTCCTGGGGGCTACAGAGGTACAGTGGCTTTCGTTCCTGCCTCGACCTTAATCTAGGAGGATACAAGGCCAGGCAGGCACCTCTCTGCACCAGCTGAGGCTTCAACCCGTGGGTGCCCTTGGGCTGAGTATCAGGAGGCACATGAAAAGCTTCAGATGTGATTCCACGTAATTGTTGAAAAGAAAACAACCACAAACCTCCCAGAGTCACAATAGTACCGCTTCCTGTAGCCAAGGGAATAGGCTCAGAGAGAGGTCACCCGCCTAAGACAAAGCTGCTAGGTAGCAGGTTCTAACAGGTGGGTCAGGCTGGCTCCTAAATGGACACGCCTAAGCAGGCCATCTTGGGCATGTGCCCACTGCCTGGCATACAGAGACACTTGACACACACCTGCTGGTGAATTATTCTCAAGAGGTGACACTCCTGTGACTAGATGTAGAGAGACCTGGAAGATTATAGTTTCTTTTAACGTTAATGATCCTAAAAAGCTAYGCATTCAGAGAGAGAACCCAAACAAGGGGGAAACGGCATGACGTAACTCACTAAAGCATTCTGTGAATTGATGCGGTGACCTTATGAAAATACACARACTCATTCAGCACTAAACACCACAGACAGGCGCTCCGCTTCAGCCGGCCCTGCAGGGCAGAGGGGAGGGAGCGCGGCCAGGCCTGCCTGAGGCTGCCCCTCGCTCAGGACTCCAGGGCTTGGGAGCTCACCGGTTCTGGTTGTACTGCACGTTCTGGGTCAGGTCCACGTTCAGGATGATGAAGTCGTGCACATGGCAGCGGGAGAAAGGCTCCCGCACCTCGCCGCCCCTCGTCTTGCTGGCCCACTTGCGCATGCCCAGCAGGGCGTAGCGGGTGATGTTGGGGGAGGCCTCGATGTGCTGCATGATGTGCTTCAAGGAGACGTTCCTCTCTGACCAGGAAAACTCCCTGCTCAAGGGAGGGAGATGGTGAAGCCAGCTGATAGGCCGGCAGCAACAGGGCCTCCCCCACAGGCCAGCCAGGGGACGCTGGCCAACTGAGCAGGAGCTGCTGGACTGGCCAGTGAGGACGGAACCCAGCATGACCCCCAGGGATGCCAGACACCTGCCAACCACTGCCATTTACGATCACTGCTTTGTGCAAAATGCACGCGTATTCCATGTGCAGAATAAGCTGACAGACAATTGTAATTCAGTCACACTCACAACTCTAGTCCAGGGACTAACACACCTCAAAGACCAGGAAACCAGAACTCAGGAAGCGTTAGCCATTTGCCTAAAGTTGCCCAGCAAGTCCAGATAAAGCCAGGAGTTAGAGGTCAGGCTAGGGGGATGGGCAGGGCTGGAGGGCAGCAGGGCAGGGCCCTCTGGGGGCTGAAGGGAGTTGGCTAGATGGATATGGTCAGCTTGCGACATTTTCTATGTACCTAATATACTTTCCTCTTTGTGTCCCTATGAATGACTGGATCTGTGGTGTCTGATTTCCTGTATTAAACCTTGACAGTGTTAAAACTTAAAGGCAAGCTTGGGCTTGGAATGTGGGCTCTGGCCTTGCCATGTGAGGGGACTTTGTGGTCCTCTCAGACAAGGGGATCCCCTGTCACCAGAGAGCATGCTCCTGCCTGGTGTCTACGGGTGGAGGGAGGAGGGCCCACAGGCCACTCACCTGCTCCGCTCCCCCGCACAGTCCACGTCCACCACGTTCCACATCACGCAGGAGTCATCTGAGATCACGATGAAAGGCCAGATGTCCTGCGGCTTGATCCCAAGCTCCTCCTGCCGGTTCCGCTCCAACTCCAGGTTATGGTAGGACAGCTCCTTGATTAGGAAATGGGCAGCACCTGGAGTGGCAAAATGGCCTGGCTCAGGTCTGTCATGGACTCACAGGCGCCCTGTGCAAACCCTGCCCGAGACACGCCAGCCCCACACATCCACACACATTCCTCCTCCACTGACCACCGCCCAGGGGAGGTGAGAGCCTGTCTCCAATTTGTATACGCATCTGCCCTTCTTTTGTAACAACTGGGAAAATTACTAAGTCAACAATCAAACTTTTTTTTTAAAGAGAATATTCATAGGAAAGTCAAACAAATCAAAATAGCTTTAAGAACTGCAAAAGCAAAAGACTGGATGTAAACTCTTTCATCTCTAGAATATTCTCTCATCTCCATTCATGGAAAATTTACCAAGCGGYGTCTGTTAAAAACACCCACCCACTCCAGCGCTGTTGAAGATGCTCGGGAGCACAAGCATGATGTGGTTGGGCCAGTACTTCTTATAGATGGCCATTTCATACTCCTTGACCACCAGCACGTGCAAGTGGCTGGCGCCATCCATCGCGTGGTAGAGATTAAAGAGTCCRTGTTCATGTCGGCCAGTGGTTGGAGTGAACGTCGGGCTTTTTATATATTCGTGACTCTGCAAATAGGTATAATGAGATAGAGGGCAAATGTGACTGACACCCTCCTTTGAAATGTGACTTCTCAACAGGGCCCCTGGGAAGATGGAGTTGATTTCCACACTCTTCGAGGACCTCCCCCTGGACTGGCCTGGGCCAGCCTCCTGGGGGATGAGAGAAAACATGGAGTGGAGACAGGCATCCCAACTGAGCCCACCCCAGACCAGCGGGCCTCCCACCAGCCACAGTCCATCCAACAGCCAATACACACACACAGTGAGCACAACCAAGCCCAGAGTGACCGTCCAGCTGAACCTCACCCAAACTGCTGGAATCAGATGCTGAACACATCCTCATCTGAGAATGGCTTGTTGTGTGACTGAAACTAACTGGCCCACATCAATGAGGCAAATTCAATCCCCTCTATGTCACCATCTAATGCTGTACTCTGAGCAGATATCACTTCTGTGTGGCCTCAACCTCAAGGGTGAGTGCAGGACATCCCCCAGTCGCCTGCCCACGATGCCCAGGTGTGCATACACCCCTGTTGGGATGTGTTTTCTGTAAATAACTGTGCTCTCTTCAACTTTTGTCCTTAATTTTGTCCTTGGGCTGAGCTAGGGCTTCTGCCACCTCTGAATTCCTCGGGGCATCTGCTACAAAGCTGCATAGAGTTGGTGCTCACAGCCCATTCTGACCCAGAGGCTGGAAAAGAGACTGGAGTCGTGGATGAATTCTCCCTTGAGCTGTAAGACACCTGATCCCAAAGTTTTGACTCTTTGCAATGTTTGCTTTGCTTGGTGGCAGGCTTGGCGGCTGTCTGGCATTGGAGTAGCAGAGCAGCCTCCTCCACAGGTACGTGTTGACGGGCAGGCAGAGAGCAGCCAGTCAACTCTGAGGCCATCGGGCTAGACCTGCCAAGCCAAGGGCCCTACAAGGAGCATGTCTGTTAAGGGGAACCGTAGTCACAGGCCCAAGGGGTCATTAAGAACAATCTCTTCCCAAGATAAAGACGTATTTGTTGGAGACGTGCCCTGAGTGCTGAGGATGAAATGCTATGATATGTACCAACTGGCACAGAGAGGGAGAGCAGAGAGCAGACAGATAAAACCTGGCCAGCTCCGAGTTAGTTAATAGGGAAACTGGGTGATGGGCCGACGGAATCCGTTCTCCTGTTTTCTCTACGGGAGCCTGTTCAAACATCCCACAACAGCACTGAAGAAGAGAGAGGAGGGAACGACACCTCACAGGCACCTGTCATCTCCCAGGTGCGTCGTGTCTTACATTTGTTATTTCAGATGATTCTCACAACAAGCTTTCTCAAGAATCACCACCCAGCTTTGCAGGTGAGGAAACTGAGGCTCAGAGACACGAAGGGACAAGTGGTGAATCACACTACCAGTCAGTGGTCAAGCGGCCTAAACTCCAGCCTGGAGGCTCCAAAGCCCACGCCCTGCACCAGCCTCCTCCAGATGCAGGCGCCATGTTGCTTCTGCACTACGTGCCCTCACATCAGAGAGCTCGTCTGGGTCCCCAGCTTAGTGATCGCCTGAAGCCACTTTGATGTGCCCATGGAACTCAGAGCCGGTACCTTGTCTGTGACGAGGGGAAGGCGCATGCTCTCCAGCTGGCCTCCGGGTTGGCTGAAGACAAAGTGGTGCTCCTTGGACTTGGGGATGATGAAGTGGAGCTGGATCTCCTCTCCTAGCATGGAGTAAGAGAAGGCAAAGGCGTGCAGGGTGGACTCATAGAGCTGAGGTGCGAGGGGAAAGGACAGAGCCTGTCATCAGAGTCGGGCTCACTTCCCACAGGAACCCAGGCCCAGCCTGGCCAGACGACACACAGGTCCCGGCTACCTCTGCCCCACAGTACAAGAAACCCACAGGGTGGCTCCAGCACCAAGAGTGGACACCCAGGGCTGGCTCCTGGACAGGCACACCCGAGGCCACACAGCAGCCCTGTCCTGCCCTGATCGTGCTGAGCCCAGGCCTGTCACCTTTGGCACCAAATCCCTGAACTCTGGACTTGACCAAGAGCCCCATCTGGATTGCCAATGACAGCATTCACACTGTGGATCTCGTTTTTAATTCTAAAATAGTTCTACTACAGGCACATGTAAGACCACATTCACCATAGGGGCTTGTCCACTTCAGCCAGCATTCATCAGTGCCATTCTGTCCCCTTCTCATTGTAATGTTGACAATCTCAGGAGGCAGGTGTGTTGCCACGGACATAGTGACATAGACACTGACATTCAGGACTTCTTCTATTCCTGAGTCTAGCCTCACCCTCCTTACTTCCTCCAGCGCCCCACCCAGCCATGCCCCACACCTCCTATCCAGGCACGTGCTACTTTCTAGTACCACCCCCCAGCCTGGCTTTGCCCTTGGCTGCCCTTGACCATCCTGTGGCCTCAGCTCTCCCAGCTGACACACTCCAGGGGCTGGAGAAGAAGGCAGTGGCCCAGGACACACCGCTCTGCACTCCTGCCAGGCTCTATCAGAGCCACAGCCAGTTGGGAACAAATATGAAGGAGCAAGAGATTATAACCAGGTGCACACCTGCAATACCAGCAACTTGGGAGGCTGATCCAGGATGATCACAAGTTTGAGGCCTGCTCAGCAACCTAGTGAGGCCCTAAGCAACTTAGTGAGACCCTCTTTCAGAATAAAAAATAGAAATGGCTGGGGAAATGGGGCTCAGAGATAAAGTGCCTCTGTGTTCAATCCCCAGTATAAAGAGGGGGGGAAAAGGAGAGAAAAAGAGATTCTGCCCAGGGCAGTGAGGTGGGTGGACAGATAAAGAATTATGTGAGTCAGTTTCATTCAAAGCACAGGGGAACGTCGGGTGATGGAAGGAGGACCGAGGAGCAGAGGGACGGGGACATAGAAACGGACGCAGGAGATGGCATTGCCTCCGCACCGTTCACAGGGCTGGCTTCAAGTCCCCTCGCCACCCCACACCTGCTGCACTTGGACTGTGACCCCCAGACCTGCACACCTGGCTGAACTCAGGCCAGGAGTGGCCCGGCTAGCAGACAGAAGATGACCCTCCTTCCTCTCCTGTGCCCTGGGCTGCTACTAATGCCATCCGAGAGCAGGAGGAAGACTTTAAGTAACAGTTCACTGTTGAAACTTATTGAAATTACTATTTTGGGATAAACCCCATGAGTCCTTTTCAGTGCTTTCAATTTCAAAATCAAGAAAACACATCACATATTTTTTTTTCTTCTTTGAAAGAAAAACTTCATCTCTAAGAAACAAATGTTAGAAGAGTTTACCTGGAGCAAATGAAATTACGGATTATTTCAATCCTTTAAAAAAATCGCTCCTACATATTTTCTGATTTCATCTCAGTACAAGTGCACACGTAAATACATGAGCATCAAAGCAGGGGGGTGAGCTTCACGGGCAGCTAGCTCAACACCAGGCAGACAGACGTAAAGCCACCGGCTGCCGTGTCCCTCTTCCTGGGAGCCGCCAAGGACGTCAACTATCCCACTGGCCTTTGGAACCTGTCCCATTACCCACAGCTCTGGCCCTTTCCTTCCTACCCTCTTTCCCTCACTTGGGCCTGAAATGAAAAGAGACACTTCAGTATAGTAGGTAAATACGACCATCTGCTTACGTTCGCCTAGCCTCCCAGCCCCCTGCAGACCTCATGTGGCTAGCAAGAGGCCAGTCTAGACCCAGCCTCGCCCACGGGGGCCCTTCTTAGAGTCATTGCTGAAGACACCCACGTTCCTCTCCCAGTGCACGAGGACTTCTGTGGCCTGGTCTCTGCCCCAGGCTCCTGTCCTAAGACCCTCCCCCCGTACTCTATCTCCAACAACACTCAACCAAGCTCACTTCTTGATCCCCAGGGGCCCCTGGCACCCCTTTTTTTGTACACACTATTCCTTCTCCTCATCAAATTCCACTCATGCTCCAAAATCCTCTCTCTGCTCCCCACGGGAAATAGAGGTTGCATCTACCTTACCTGAAACACTTGGGACCAGAGGTGTTTCAGGTTTAGGAGTTTTTAGATTTGTGAATATTGGTATTGACTTTACCAGTTGAGCAGCCCTAATCTGAAATCCAAACACTCTGAAATCCATAGCTCTTTGAGCACTATGTCGATGCTTCAAAACGTTCAGATTTCAGGGCATTTCAGAGTTTGGATCTTCAGATCAGGAAGCTCAACCTGAACCTTCATTTACAAAACAAGGACAGTGAGCTTTTGGTGAGAATTTAGTAGGAAACTGGAAAAGACAGTTTCCTAGCCAGTGCACTTGAGTGGATGGTCAGTGTGGCTGGAACAGAAACCCCCAGTGACCAGCCAGGTAACCAGCCGGAGCCTGGGCCAGCAGCCTGGGCCAGGAGCCTTGCCCGTTAGTGCATCCAGGACAAATGTCTTCTGCCTGTAAGAAGGCCAGGAAGGACTGACAGGTGAGGACCGCCCCGGCATGCTGCCTGGTGTGGGGCAGGCCTTCCATCCTGCGAAGCACGCCCCGCCTTGCCAGCTGCGTGCCCTCTGCGCCTCACCCACACGGCTCTCCCTGCCTGCACCAGGCTGTGTGAAATCCCTCACAGGCGTCTCTCCCTCAGGCTGTGAGCCCCGTGGATGGGGACTGTCTGTCCATGTCTGTACCAGGGCCGGGGCCACGGTAAGCACTCAGTGAGTGACAATGGCACCAACTAACTTTTGGAATCTCTAGGACCTGGAGACGAGGATGACCCCCAGGGAGAGCATGACACTGCACACGCARCCTCAGGAGAGGGCTGTGCTCAGCCATCATTTCCCAACCGAGGAAGGAATCGAGGGCAGGCACAGAGCAGGAAGCAGGGGCTTCTAGAACCTTCCTCTCCCACCTTGGGATGAAAATGTGAGAAAAATAGGGAACACAAGAGTAAGCCGAGGAGACACCCCGGGAGCCACTGTCGGCCGACTGAGCCGAGGGCCGGCGCCCCTGRCCTACCTGGTAGCGGGGGTGGAAGCCCATGTACTGGTGGCACTGCTCACAGTGGTGGTACGTGTTGTAGGCCGCGTACTTGGACAGCCTCATCCGCGCCGTCTGACGCCGCACATAAAGGTCCTCGGGCTTCCGGGAGATCCCCCTGTCTGCAGGAAATTCCCCAGTGTTAAGGAGCAGCAGCAGGTGGAACGAACGGTCATCCCTGTGCGCTGAACCTCGCACTAAGAGGTCCCTCACAATGAGCAGCAGTGACAGGGCTCTGCGAGGTCCGTGAGCCCYGAGGTGACGCAGCCAAGCCAGGGACAACACAACACCTCAGTGGAGAATCTAATAGAAGCTCAGACCATGTCTTAGCTGGTCCACAGGACGTTTTAAATCAATCACCAAACTACTACGCAAATGCTGGAATGCCATCGGTGCCAATGAATCACTTTTTTTTTTTTTTTTCCCAGATGAGGTGGCAGGATTCAGGTCTGAGCACTAAACCTTCATGAGAAACTGCTCTAAAGAGAGGACCCTTATCCATTCTGAGCTCCACGAAGGGAAGATGGCTGGCTGCAGCAGGGTCAGGTGTGCAGTTCTCTGGAGTGGCCGTACGTACCAGGCTCTCCTGGTCTACGCTCCCAGGCCCACTGGCCCAGGACGACCACGTTGACTGACACTGCCTTGACCCACTGTTGAAGTCAATGGTGCCCAAGAAGGAGGGGGAAAGTGAGAGGCTGGGGCAGGAGGGGAAACACGTGCACCCATTTGGCTACGACAATGCCAAATTCATAAGTAGATGCCCACAGCTTTCACCCTCCACCAACCAGCGCCTGCAGAGCACCCCAGCCATGACAGATCAGCAAGACAGCCCACTGCCATTTGGCACCCCCCAAGCCGTGAGTCTCCCTCTGTGAGCTCCGGGGTGATGAGCTCTGTGGTGGTGCCCTCATCCTACARGTGGGAGGCCTTCTCCGTTCTGAATGGGGTTTTGTGGGTCACTCACCACTACTCTTCACCTCTAACAAGATGCTTGGCCCAGCTGCATTATGGTGACMCAGAGGAGACGACACCCACCCACTKTAGAAGAAGSTGAAGCAAGAGATCCAAAGTCTGACCTTCACTCTTGATGCTCTGATGGTGGGCACAGATCAGACTGGCATCCTCATACTTGGGATCATGAATGATGTAGTCAAATGGCATCTTCTGGAAYAGCTCCAGGTCCGGCCAGGGGTCACTGAGCTGGAGGTAATGCCAATCYGATTCTTCTCGGAGGCCTGCAGGATGGGTCAAAACACCATGTGCACAAAATTGGAGGGAAAAGGACTCACTTTGTGCATAAGAACGATGCTTGGAGCAGAAGTGTTATTAACGTTTGGGTCACTGGGGAACCTCTTGTACCTCAAGGGCTTCCAAAAGATCCATTTGGGGGTGGATCTAATGAGGCACAAACATRCATTCAGATCTACCTGCATCCAGAGGAACAGCCAGCCGTGCACTCCTTCCTAGGAGACAGGCCTGCTCTCSGTCTCCCACGCTGACTCCACCTCCTCCCAGAGTCCTGACCCAGCTGACCCTGCCCCACGCCTCTCCTGGCCTCATAGACTGTACTGGCTCCCAGCACCATGGACTGTTGGGTTTCCTTTCTTGCTTCTACCTGTGTCAATCCCCCAGCCAACAGGGCTCAGCTCCTTCACCCCACCTCTAGAAAGTGAGCCATTGGTTGCACGCTGATGCCAGCAACACTTGTGGCCCCAAGCACATTYGCACCTTCGCCAGCATCATCTGTCACTGTGACTGGCACAGTCTGTGGGACTCACTGTTTTGCTAGCTACAAGAAAAATGTCTAGTTGTCTAACTCAAACTAGGTGACACACTGACATTCTACATTACGTGATATGCAGGGTACGCAGACGCTCATATACTTTGATTTCTGTGTGTGCGTATGCCCTGCGAGGTGCTACACGTGGGCAGAGAACACGCCATGAGAAGCCAGGGGAGAAGCTCCCTGTTACTTAACAGGTGCCGAGCCCTTCACACACGCACTTGACCTTCTCAGCACCCAGTGAAACGGGAATCATCCCTATTCCACAGAGAGAACAGAGGCAACGGAGAATATCTAGGAGAATGAGCTTTGGGGTTTGACGAAGTGGGTTCAAAATCCTGTCCTTATCATTGGTAGACCCAAGAAAGTGAGGGGACAGAAGCTCCGTAGAAACACAGTCCCCAACCTTGGGGAAACTGCAGAAATTCCCCGTCCTTCACAGGAAGGCCATGTACTGGATGGGCTTCCTCCTTTCCAAGTTTCCCCCAAGTCAAAATCGAGTGCTGTGGAGAGCATCCGTGGGCAGCCACTGTGGCCCCCGCCACAGACAGGGCCCTGCACAAAGGTGCCAAATTGTCTCCCAGGCCAAGACCGGGAACTCGGGGGGCCAGAAGAGGGAGACGGGGACATGCTTCCCAGGCAGCTCAGAAGGGCTGTGCAGGGGCTCTTCCCCCACTCGGCCAGGCCTGTTCAGGAAGCAAGGAGAGCAAGGTCTCCCCACTCTCCATGTAGCTTTGTTTTGCCCTAGATGCTGACCTTTACGTTCAGCTGCCTGACTCGGAAACCTCCCGAGGGAGGAGGCCATTTCCTGCAGGCCTCAGTCACATGCAGTCCAGCTCCTGCTCTGCCAGTCCCTGCTGGACGCCCCAGCATCTCACTCGTGGGAAATGAGAGGACAGCATCTACCCCACGGTGCTGTTCATGGTGACTGATGTACCTAGCATGGTGCTTGGCACTGGAAGGAACCTGGGAGGCACCCGTTCCTTCAGCATTAGTGATTTTATCCCTACAAAGTTCTCCAAGGCACTGTTCTGATACCGAGAAGAATGAGTACTGAGAAAGGTAAAAAGTGCCCAAGAGCCTGCCAGGATGAGCCAAGTCATGACCCGAGAGCTCCATCCTGAAAGTGAGACACAGTCACCAGGGACACTGACGTTCGTGACTGACAACTCACTGGTGTTGATCTCTTCTTCATCATAAACATCCACTTCTGTCAGCCGAATGAGCATCCTGGACAAAATGCTGAGAAACTGCAGGTAGGCGCCCGTCTTCCCGATCTGCAAAGACGCTGACGTCAGAGCCCACAGAAAGGAAGCCTGTCCACGCCGGGCACCACCCATCTCACTGAAAGGAGAGCCCCACGGACACCAGGCATTTGAGGGGCAATGTGGTGAGTAACCCAGACCTTTTTTATTTTTTTTATTTTGAGACAGGATCTCRCTAAATTACTGAGGCTGGCCTTGAACTTGCAATCCTCCTACTTCAACCTCCCAAGCCTCTGGGATTACAGGTGTGTGCCACCTCACCTGGTAACCAGACCCATTTTTAAGGGGAAATGCTTCCAAAAAATAGGAACTGGTCATGTAAAACACAATGTCTTAAAAGAATCTTGCACAATTGYGAATTCCTGTTCCCATGAGTGTAAGATATCACAATCTGCTTCACAGAACAGAAGTTGACATCTAAGTTCTCCTAAACTCAGGAAAAGGAAACATGACATTTCTTTTCATCCTTTTCATTTTTGCTAGAGCCCCCTTCTCCCTTGGCCCTGCACCCGACTAGGGCACTCACTAGTAATCTTAGTACATTTTGGTTACAACTGATTAAAGAGCTGCCTGCAGGTTGGCCAAGGTCCCTCTGCATGCCCACCACACAATCACCCCAGGGTGTGCTCTCCTAGTACTGAACCCAAAGCCTGGCTCAGAGCAAGAACTCAGCAAGTGCCATTGAATGGAAATAACTAGCTTTAACAATGAAAATTCAACATACCATTGGGGGGAGCTCCAGAGAAAATATCTGCAACACTTATAACAGACAAAAGATGGAAATGTATAACATCTGCAGAGCCCCTACAACCAACAGGAAAAGGTCCAGCTGCCCAAAGGACCAACAAGCAAGAGTAACAAGCAAAAATCATGGGGAAGAAGCACCAATGACCAAGGGATATAAAAAAAAGGATTCCACCTTTCAGAAAGCACTACCACCTGCTACTTCTCACCTACTACTTCTCACCTACCAGATGGCAAGAGTTCTGAAGATACACGACCCCCAGCGCATGTGGCTGTGGATAAGTGGAGAGTCTCCCTTTTAGGAAACATTTTCTTTTCTCTCATTTTTTTTTAAACTAGAGAAGTCATATATGGTCATTTTAAACAATCAAAAAATGCAGATGGATAATAAAGTGGAATGTTACAAATCCCTCTCCAGGTAATGAGTTAGTGGCAGCCAGCCTCTCAGATATTTTTTAAAGCATTTTCATATATAGATTTGTTTGCTGATATTACACCAWATATGTCATTCTGCAAATTGATTTTAATTTAAATATGTTGGAGAAATTTTAATGATCTCTCTCAGATTTTTGCAATTGAATTCTATGATACAGTTGTCCCCAGATTTATTCCACCAAGACTCAGCTGGTGGGTTTGTATTTCTTGGTTGGTTCCTGGACATGACGTGCTAAGTCAGAAGGCTCCTGTGTGAGCTCAGCTTGTACTGTCAATGGCCGCACTATGCATGGCACGCTGTCTGCAAGTCAGGCCGCACRCCAGGTGTCCTACATCTGCTCTCCATTGGCTTCTCACACCTCTGTGAGACACCATTATACCTGTCATTCTCAAATGCAGATGTTGAGGCACAGCGGAGGTTAAAATTTGCCTTCATGTCTGGAGACATTTGAAGAGAATGTGGCTCCAGGCAGTCCAGCCCCGGAGCCACCTCCCATGAGCCCATCCTGGTCTAAGCCCTCTCCCTCCGATACCCACCATGCTGGACAGGCCTGCCCTGGGAGCTTTCTGCAGCTCCGACAGGTTAAACCGCCTGCGGGGGATGTCGTGAGCTGGACGAGGGTGAGGAAAGGAACAGAGCCCCAGATACTTATTAAATCACCTCCATTCACTGTTCACCACAGTCTCCCTGTGCAGAACCAGGCAGTTTCCAGTAGCTGGGTGACATGGAGACTGCACAGTGGCCGTGAGGGCCAGGTGTGATAGGGTGGGAGGTAACCCTAGTCTGAGATGGTGAGAAGCACCCACAGTGACGTCCCCTCTGGCCCCACAACACACAGTGGAGGAGACGGAAGTCAGACATGGAAGTAGCCTAGCTGTGGTGGGTGAGTCCTGCTCCACTCACTGACCACGCCAGGCCATCACGGACGAGTCCCCCAGGGGAACGACAAAAATGGAATAAGAGAATATGGTCAGCCTGACCTTTGGCTTCTGACCACAAGGACCACCAGACTTCAGGGCCAGGCAAGAGGACAGCGGGCTCAGCACACACCTGAGGGGGTCCGCTGAGCAGCAGCCTGCGAGGGTGGAAGCTGTCCACGCGGCCTTCGGCCCTGTTGCCATAATCCATGTGGCTGGGCCGGGGGACCGTCCACTGTCGATAGTAGAGGGACTGCTCTGTGGACGTCATGGTCTTGCTGAGCAGGGGACGGAAGGAGCTGGTCCACATGACTGAGGGGGCGGGCAGGAGGGAGGCGGCCTTGGGCAGCCCGCTGCTGTCGGTGGACACGAGCACGTCGTACACCAGCTTGGGCAGGAAGACGGTGGGCGGCTGCCGACAGGCCTTGGTCACGGAGCACTGTGAGGCCTGCAGGACGAGCGTGCCAGTGGCCGGTGCCGTGGAGCCCAAGGAGGGCAGCTGGGAGGAAGCTGTGACCGACACCTGCAGGCCCCTCTGGCTGGTCCTGAGGCCACAGTCTGCTGGCGGGGGGTGTCCGGGGCCATGCCTGCTGATGACCATCGGTGGACCCTGACTTGTTCGGAGCCACGGCTTCTCCCCCGMGGCCCTGGCCTCTTCTGCAGGGCCACAGGGCGGGGGTGATCTGGCCTGATCTCCCTGCGGGGGCCCAGAGACCTGAGCTGAGGTCTCGCTGCAGAGTGCTGAGCCTGGGGAGAGACRAACCTGGTCAGCACCCTCCCAGGGACGAACTTGTGCCACACAACTACCGGCCCTCCTGCTTCTCCACTGGCCTCCTGTGCTGCCTTGGGCAAAAAGATGGCAGTGGCTGCAGCATTTGGCTTTCATAACCAACCTGCAAATCAGAGCCTCCTTCAGGCAGAGTGCCGGGCTGAAGCCCAGGAGGCTGCGTCCAGGCCCCATTGAAGGAGACGGCAGCCCACCCTGCTCGGTGACTGTGGGCTGCATGAAGCAAAGGAAGAAACCAGAAGATGCTCCCCAGCCAGATCTCCTGCTGGGCTCTGAGTTCTTCCCAGCCCCAGACCACTCACTGGTTCCTCAGAACCCTCAGACCTCAGCTGGGCCCCATTACCCCAGGCTGCTCCCGCTGGACCCCTGCCTGCACCCAGACTGCACACCCACACCCTGAGCCCTCAGCCCAGAGAGATCTCCASGCTGGGAACACTCTCTCCTCCATGGGTCAGCTGCTCTCAAACTGTGGTGAACACAACTCCCCCTAAGTCACTACCATCTAGGACACAGTTAATTACGTCCTTGTGCACATACCCACGTCATGTCATGTGGGTGACTATCTGCTTAGGAAGTAAAGGGTTAAAATACTGCAGTGTAAGCTGGTTTTGAGGAAAGACGAATTTATTGAGGGCAGAGTCCATATCGAATTTGTCTTTCAACATTCAAATTCAGATTATATTGGAAGCCCCGGTTTGATAAATGCTTTTGGTGGGTCCGTAGGTACTGGCTGCTCCTGGAGGCCAAAGGATCCCCCAGGCAGAGTCCCCATGAGGCTCTTAATCCTGTTCCCTCCTCCCTGCACCGTCTGGGTTGTGAGCTCTCCTTGCTGGCTGCTGTTTCTCCTGAGAAGTGTCCGGGGTCTGCTTCTCTGGACGAGAATCCCTCACCTCAGCTCACACTCCTGGACAGGGACTGCCCAGGTCAACAGATGCATAGAGGCCACCCGAGGACACGTCCCCACAAGTCCAGGACTCAGGCCACAGTCACAGGAGCAGCTGGACCTTGCAGTTAGGAGACTTCAAGGTCTCAGATCCCAGGTTCACTCCATTCTCCCCTGAAGAGCTCACTCTGCACTGATGGCCTTCCCTTCCCAGTTCTGATTGGAGCAAGGTGTCAGCCAATGGCCCTTGATGTTTCCTCCCATTCTCTGAAATCAAAGACTGCCCATCATGCCCAGAACCCACATGGAGACTTACTGGATGCTTTGGAGGACAGGGARGAGGACGCCGAGTCATGAGAGGAGGACCGCTCCCTCTTCACAGGGCTCCTCTTCTCCRAGGCGGAGCCTGCTTCAAAACACACTGAGAATGCACGGGATCACCCTCCTTCCCTCGCCCAGCACCTCACAGCGAGCAGGATGCAAGCACGTGTCTCCCCATTCCTTCTCTCACTCCTCCATTTATCTGCCATTTTCCAATCACCCCCCCCCCTCTCCCAGCCACACACACACACTTGGCCACACACACACACACCCACACACTCTTGGCTAGACTCAACTCAAGGTGGAGTTCAGAGTCACTCGGGACCCACCAGGGAGCATGTTCACGCCACAGGCAACAGGGAACTGGGAGCACATAAGACCAGGTCACGATCATGTTTAATTTTTATTTCTTTTATTTCTGGGTTCCGGGGATTGAACTCAGGGGCACTTGACCACTAAGCCACATCCTCAGCCCTATTTTTGTATTTATTTAGAGACAGAGTCTCACAGAGTTGCTTAGCACCTCACTTTTGTTGAGGCTGGCTTTGAACTATGATTCTCCTGCCCCAGCCTCCCGAGCAACTGGGATTACAGGTGTGTGCCATCGTGCCTGGCAGGATCATGTTTTGAAAGATGGTTACAGCAACAGGGAAGGCTGACAGGCAGGCCTCTGTCCCCATTTTACGGTTCCCCGTCACACAGTCAGCAGGCAGAATACAATGGGGACTCTACATCCATCTTTCCCTTCTGCTACTCTGCACAAATCTTTTGTATCTTTTGTATCTTTAATAGTATTGGCTTATGTTTTCCTGCCACACTGTTGAGTATGGCCAAGTGTGTCCTTTGAAAAATAAGCCTTCATATCTTAAGTCTGCAAATGAAACTGGCCTGTTTTCATATGTTTTGATAATGGTCAGCAGGAAGTGGAGCCGATTCATACAGAGGGAAGACACAAGTAGATCTCATTCCTCCACCAAGCTGAATCAAGCATGAACTTGAACCCTAAGAACAGCAGTTYTTCCTCCTATGCTTGAAGAACTCCAGAGTGTGGAAGCACCTCTAGGGCCTTCCATCTTCCCCTACCACCACAACGGGGGGAGAGCCAAATCCCAACTTGACGAGGGCCCTGCATCCTGGAGACAGCCGTGSACACCTTCTGCCCTCACCTTCTGTCCCCAGCTCCTCGTCCTCATTGTCTGTGCTGCTCAGCTTCTCCCCGTCACTCTCCAGGGCCTCGTTCTTGGCTCCCTTTTCCAAGGGAATCTCATTGCTCACAAAATAGGCAGCCAGGCCCAGCTCCTGCTCCAAGGCTGTTCTCACCAAGCAGGAGGAGTTTATGAGACGCAGGTCACAGTACCTCAGGGACCTAGGAGAACGGGAGGTGTTCACTGAGTGTCTTCTGACATAAGGTGCTGCTCCTGGTGACAAAGGGCAGCAAGATCGGGACCCTGCCTGCCTTCCTCACCAGACCCCAGGACTCATGCACCTGGGAAGGCCCAGGGAAAGTGCGACTTGAGTCTTATCAACCAAGAGGGGTTCAGAGCAAGTCTCTRGGGCCCTGGCTAAGTACTTTGCCCTGCGGGTTATGGAATCAAAAGAGCACTTTCAGGTCAGACAAATGGGGCTTGAACCTCAGCCCTGCCACTTTTCAGTGATGGAAACTTCAACCAGCTTTGCAATTCCTCCGAGGCTCTGGTTTTTATTTTCATCTGAAAGATGGGAATGAACATGAACCACACATAAGAGCGTTGTCCTGAAGAGTAAATGTATTAAGTGGGCTTTCATCACCTGATCCACATTTAACACAGGCCAGCGGGTTTGCTGGGTTCTGAGGACCTGAGTCAGGCAGTCATTGCCGGGTTGGTCTTACAGGAGACYCAGGGACCCCCTGTCCTGAGTGTGTGGCTGTGGTGGCCTAGAGGCCCCTAGGAGTTGCCAAGTGGACACAGCTACAGAGACAGTCCTTCTTTTTGTCAAAACGACTGTCTCTTCCCAAGCAGCATCACTGTCCCTTCCTTCCCTACACCAGGAGTGACCTGCTGGCACAGCAGTGGAGCCCTAACCCCCGAGATAATGCCACATCATGCCATGTGGAACTGTCCTCCCTAATAGTGACTCCCAACTGAGCTCAGGAGGCACTAAACCCTGACTCCATCTACAGCCCCCCAGAGCCGAGTAACAGCCTCCCACCAGCCCCATGGTGCCCTTCAGGAATTAGGAGAAGCTCTCCACACCTCAGACCCGCCACACTGCCATCTGCTGGAAACYTGTGTAAATGCACAACGGAAATGACCAGGAGTGTGAATGGTTCCACCTGGAAGGTGGGCAGTGGGAGCCTCGCCAAGCTCCTCCCCGGCTACAGGCCCAGGCTGTGAGCCCCAGCATTCACCTGGGCAAGGACTCCCCATGCGGGTCCATCCCGCTAAAGATCAGGATGCACGGCAGGCCCTCCAACTCCAAGTAGGTCTGAGGCCTCCACTCTGCGTCCTCGATTTTCTGCCACATCTGCAGATATTGAAAAGAAGGCCATGAGCCACTACTTTCCAACWGGCCCAGGTCCAGGGGAAACCTGAGATCCTCCCACTGACTTATCACATCCTCTGATAAAAAGGGAAGTTCTTTTTACTGCAAATAAGCACTCTGTGAGCTAACTGTATCTTCAGTCRGGTGTGCATATTCTACCCCAGAAGCACCTGTAGACTGACTGATCCCAGGAGCAGATGCGTATCCTCATGGCTTCTGACTCCTGTGTTCCCTCCCAGAGTTCATATTCCCACTCATCTGTTCCTTCAAGTCTCTCCCTGACCCTTTTGCCCACCCTGTCATGGAGGGTCAGTGAGGGCCCACCAAGGACAGGCCCTGTGCTGGGCTTTGGTGACTGAAACAGGCAGGGTGGACACTGGTCCTGCCCTACTGCCTGGGGAGGAGCTGGCTGATGGGATGAGACCTGGCCCCAGGTATCGTGGAGGGTGGCTTCCTAAAAAGGGAAGGGGCACATGCTCAGTTCTGTAGGCAACAAGCTCAACAGGGCAGGCGCACCCTCGGGGAGAAAGAAAAGTGGGCTGCGACCCTGAGGGCTGAGATGGCAGGCCTGGTGTTGGGGACACCCGGAATGCCCCCAGGGGAAGGTAGGGGGGCAGAGGAGGTGGCGGAGGTCTTGGGAGGCTACACTGGCCATGCCCGAGGATCTGCTCCCACCCCCTCCTGAATCCCAGCCCCAGCGGCCCCCTGGCCGCCCTCCTGCTCTCCTGCCCCCGAGCGCCACGCCCACCTTGAGCTGCTTCACGAAGTGCTTCCCCACGGTGATGCCCGAGCTGGGGTTGCCCAGGATGATCTCGAAGTGCTCCTCCAGGGCCAGCCGCGCCCGCACGTGGGCCAGCCGCTCGTAGGCCACGGCGGCCAGGGGCGAGCAGGGCACCCGCAGCAGGACCATGAGCCCGTGGCCGCAGGGGCACTGCTTGGGGGCGTTGAGGAGGTTCTGCGTGATCTCCAGCGTCTCCACCGACGTGTGGTTCTTCATCTGCGGGAGGCCGCTCACCGCCATCATGGCGGCGGCGTAGTGCTGCACGAGAACAAAGGTCCTGATCACCGCGCTGTGCAGGCGGGGGAACCTGCGGGAACACAGAGAGACCAGGCCGTGACCCCAGGCCCGCAGCCGCTGGCCAGGGCAGACCCGCGCACTGAGGGCAGGCTTCCAGCTGGGCTTGGGCTGCGGCTTTTTGAGTTTTCCCGCACTTGGCTCTCTGTAAATGCAGCTGCCACAACCCCCAGATTTGGGGACAGTCCCTAGGCACCACTGTGCTCATGTCCATTACAGGGAGGTCTCAGAAAGGCGAATAAACCTGATTTAACTTGATGGGTGAATGACATATCAGAGCACCTGCAGTCAAACCAACAAGCCCAGCTTTTGCCTTGGACACCTGGTTACCTCCCCCCCCCACACGGAGGTGGTAGCTGCTGCAGTGACCACCTGCTCTACTAGGGTCAGAAACAGACCCCAGGGTATCACCAGAAAAACCCAGGTCACTGCAGATCACTGTTTCCCAACAGAAATAAATAAATTGACGTCCAGTCTATACTTGATGCTCTTGTGGGTTTTCTAGCTGGAGTACGTCCCCAGGGCCATACCATGGAGGGCCACCCTGTGTTTTCTTCCAGGGCAGCCAGCTCGTCTTCCACAGCATCTCCAAGCCATCACCTGCTCCTTCTCCCCRCCCGGCCTCCTCCTCTCCTTCGTGCCAGCCTTAGCTCCTCAGGGAAGGGCTGGCCTGGCAAGCCACTCCCACTGTGGTCTCAGGGAAGGGCAGCTGGCCCTAGGACTGTCACATGAAAGAGACATGGTGGCCCAGGGACTATTCTGCCCTGCCCTGGTACCCTCGCCCAACAATACCCAGAAATAAAGAAAGSAGTGTGGGAAATGGTTCTGCTCCACGGACAAGCAGCGTCTCCCACTTCTGGCCAAGACAGAGCAGCCAGGCTCAGACTCATCCTCCCACCTGGAACACGTATGAAAACCACAGTGTTTCAAGACCCAGGGCATCGGCCAGTGAGCTCTAAGCCATGTGAGATAAACGAGATGGGCGGCTGCCTAAAACGTTTCCAGGGTGCGCTCAAGAAGGAGAGGCCCAGGCAAGGCTCAGTCTCCCCAAGTTAGAGGCCAGGTATTAGAACCCCAGGAAACCAAGGCAGCCAGAGATCACAATGCAAAGGACCAGGGGACCAAGAGTTACAAAAAGAACGGAATTCCAGACATGTGCAGAGGGCCCCTAGATCTTAAGTGAGTAGGAATCAGTGCAAACATGTAAGGAAACTACCCGAGGTAAGAAAAGAGTTTCTTTGGATGCTAACAACTTACCAATGYCTCAAGCCCACACAGGGCTAGGACTGGTTCCTGTAGTCACTCCCAATAGGAAGTGGGGAACTTTGTAGAGGATATGCAGAGGTTTYTGCTTCTTAGTAGGGGACTAAATACTAGATAAGTATCATGCTGCTGCAGCCTAGCAAAGCTTACGATCAAGACCTGAAAGGATTATTAAACTGTTTCCAAATAACTGAAAACTCAAGARTAACAGGAATGAAACATCAACACCCAACAAGTTTAAGTTCATAATGTCTGGCATCTTCTCAAAAGTTACCAGAGATGGGCTGGGGYTGTAACTCAGTGGCARAGCACTTGCCTAGGATATGTGAGACACTGGGTTTTATTCTCAGGACCACATMAAAATAAAACAAAGAAAATAAAGGCATGCTGGGTATCTACAACTACAAAAATAATTAATTACCAGATATACAAAYAAGCAGGAAAATATAACCCATAGTAAAAACWCATGGCGGGGGTCAATCCATAGAAATGACTCACAAGTGATGCAGAGATGGCAGAGCAGACAACAACAATAAAACAAATAGWGTAACTAAATCACTTATGTTTAAAAAATATTCAATATGTTAAGTGGAGATACTAAAAAAAAAAAAAAAAAACACAAATCCAATTCTTGAAATGGAAACCATGTGTCTGAGACAGAAGATAAAGTGGAGCTGGATTTTCATGGAAGCCACTATCTTGTCGATGACCTTGTCCTGCCAGCCACAATCAGTTGGCTCAGGGAACATGWCCCAGGACGAGGCCTGGTTTTTCCTTGATATTTTTCAAAATAAGAAAACAAATCAGTTCTCTCTGGAAGCTGGAGATTGGGGTTCAGTGGTGACCAGGGGTGATATTTTTAGCACATGGAAGAGGCTGGTGTTCAAGACACACCACGAAGCCAACGGAGATGCCACAGACAAGGCAACGTGTTCCTGGGACTGTCTGCACACCTCACTTCACCTGTTCCTGAAAGTAGGTGCAGCCCTGCTGTTCTACRGTTTCTTTGAACTTTCCTTTTATTTCATGAGTCAAGACATCTACGGTTTCTTCAAACTTATTCCGTGAGTCAAGACATCACCCTTTTTCCCCAAGAGAGCTCAAACTGGGTTTTTGYTACTTGTACCCTCGAGTCCTGACCCACAAACAAACACAGCAATACATCCGTTCATCAATGCACCTGCTGCCTGAAATTGTCTTTTTTCTCTTAGGAATCTGGTCCTAAAATACTCTGCCTTTGTAAAAAGTAAAAATAACTGCATAGGGTCAACATCAGATTAGACAATGTAGAAAAAATTAATAAACTTTAAAATGAGGCAATCAAAACTAAAATGAAACGGAAAGGAATAATGAGGCCTTAGCAAGCCACGGGACTGTTCTGAGCATCCTGGGAAGCAGGGGAACTTTTGGAAAAAACAAGGCTGAAATTTTTTCGTATTAGATGAAAACTCAATCAACTCAAGTCAAAAAGCATGAAGACTACGCAAAGACATCTTAATCAAATTGCTTAAAACCAGAGATGAATTTAAGTTTCTTTAAAGCAGCTGGGGGTGGGGCAGGGGAAGCATTCTTTAGAGAGAAACTTGAAGGCGAGGAAAAGGCAGATGGCTCGTTTTAAACAACATGTCAGAAGACAAGGAAGCCACATCCCTGATGCCCCAAAAAGCAAAACAAAAAGAAAATCCAAACCAGAATGTTATCTTTCAAAAKCGAGGCAAAACACGGGCTGGGGTGGAGCTCTGTGGTAGAGCTCATGCTCATGTGCACGCAAAGATGTGTTTCATCCCCAGCAAAGCAAAATAAAATTTTTTCAGACACACAAAATGTGAAAGAATTCATCAGCAACAGACCTGCCCCACGAGAAATGCTAAAAGAAGTCCTCTAAAGAGAAGGAACGTGATACCAGATGGAAACCAAGTCTACACACAGRGAGGAAGAACTCTAGCAAGAGCATATGAGAAAACATAGAAGAGGGTTTTGTCACATTTAAATAGCTTTAAAAGATTATGGACTGGGCTGGGGATGTGGCTCAAGCGGTAGCGCGCCCGCCTGGCATGCGTGCGGCCCGGGTTCGATCCTCAGCACCACATACCAACAAAGATGTTGTGTCCGCCGAGAACTAAAAAATAAATATTAAAAAAAAATTCTCTCTCTCTCTCTCTCTCTCTCTCCTCTCTCACTCTCTCTTTAAAAAAAAAAAAGATTATGGACTGACTAAAGCAAAAAAAATTGTAAAGTTTATAATATTTATAACAAAAAGTAGAAAACTTGGAGGCGAGAAATGGAAATGCCTGGTACAGTTTTAATCATCTTACATTATACACATCACTTGAAAATAGACTACAACAAGTTAAAGATATATATTGTAATTATAAAGGAACCACTAAAAAACACAACACAGAGTTGAAATAGAGAGAGAGAAAATGAGAGATTATGAAAAACAGATGGTACAAGATGCAAGATGGTAGATTAAAACTGACCAATAACCATATTRAATATAAATGGACTATCTCAACTAAAGGGTAGAGATTGTCAGACTGGATAAATAGAAAGATCCTATAATAATCTGACTATACGGAATCAACTTCAAATACAAATAAAGATACAAGTGGGCYTAAAGTTAAAGGACAGGATGTAATAATCTATGCTAACACTAATTAAAAGAAAGCCAGAGTAACTCTATTAGTTTTAGAGTAGATTTTGAAGCAAAGAATATTTGGATTATTTCATAGTCATGAGGGGGTCAATTCACCCAGAGACACCAAAGTGTCACAAATGGAAGATAAATGCCATTAGTCACTGGAGAAATTCAAATTAAAACCACAATGAATTACCATTTCATACCAACTAGAATGGCTAACACTAAATAAAAAGATGGACCACATACACATGCTAGAAAAATGTGAAGCTCTGGAACTCCCACACACATGGCTGGTGGGAATGTCAAATGAATCACTTTGGAAAGTAATTGAGCAGTTGGTTAAAAATAAAATAATAAAATAAAATAAAATCAGATGCTGCATGCCCGTAATCCAAGTTAGTCAGAGGCCGAGGCAGGAGGACCACAAGTTCAAGGCCAGTCTGAGCAACTATCAAGAACCTGCCTCAAAACATTAAAAAAAAAAAAAAAAAAACTCTAGGGATGTAACTCAGTAGTTGAGTGCCCCTGGGTTCAATCCAAAAATAAATAAAATTAAATTAAACAAAATACAGGAAATAGTTAAACATATACCTACCACATAACACAGTCATTCTACCACTAAGTATTTACCCAAGAGAAATGAACGCATATGTCTAAACAAAACCTTRCACATGTTTCTAGAAGTTTCTAGAAGTTTCGTGTGGAATAGCCAAAACTGAGAAATAAAGTAAATGCTTATTAGCCAGCGAGTAAGTGAACTATGTATAWCCATTCAACAGCCTTGGACTCTGGATACCAGCAACAACACGGCCCGGTGTAGGAAAAGCCAGACCCATAGAGCACCTGCCTTACGACTCCCTTTTCATACAACTCTAGGAAGTGCACACTTGTGTGAGGCGCAGCAGGCAGGAGGGAGGAACTGCAAGGGGCAGAGGGAATGGTGAGGTTTTCCCCATGTGTACAAAGGTCAAAACTCACTGAATGACTWAAGCAGGTGTGGTTCCCTGGATGTCAGCTATTCCTTAGTGAAGCTGTGATTTGGAACAAGACAAGCACTTGGGACACGGCCACCTGTCAGGCACAGCCTGGCTCATTCTTGAGCCTCCATGGTCGGCCCTAACAGGGTGCTGCACAGGCAACACTAGGAAAAAACTGCTAGATGTCTCCATATTTTACTTTTAAGTCACAGAGGTCTGTGTCCCATCTCTAGTCCTTCCCACAAGCAGGTTTCYGAGCCTCGTGCAGGTGTCTGGGACACATGGCCAGCTAACAGTCTGGACAGGCACCTAGTGGCAAGAAYGGTGATCTCTGTGTCTCATCTTCATCTCCTTCTATTGGCCAATTTCAGGAGAGTTTTCCAGACAGATGATTCCTAGGCAGGGTAGCTTGGCCCAGGGGAAGAATCCCAGACCTGCCTTGAGTCTGGGTTGCCACACACAGGCCACGTGAACTTGGGCCAAACATGCTCCCTCTCTGGGCTTCCGTTCCCACGATTGTCAAGTGAGGTGGTTGAGCTAAAGGATTCCTAGGAGTTCCTGAGAATGCACACACCCCAACATTCCAGGGGTTGGAATTCTCTCCTTACTCCCTGAAACAGAAATGCAAACTCTGAGCGGCACATGTGCTTCTAGGTTAGCAAAGGGGAAGCGAGAAGAGGGGCAGAACCGAGACTCAGACCCAGACACAGAAGCCCAAGCTGTCCACATGCACCTGCTACTGAACCTGTCAAACCCTCGTAAGAGGCCATTAGGAGAGAAGGTTCACTCTGCAGGTCAGGACACAGAGGTTCAGCAGGTTCAGTGACCTGCTCAAGGTTAAAACTAATGAAGGGCAGAGCCCAGATGTGTGGATACAGTGGTCAGAGTCTGGCTTTTTACTAGCTGTGAGACCTTGGTCAGTGWGGCTTAGTGATGATGTGGTTTTGGAGTCAAGTGACCAGGGTCTGGGTCCAGTTTCACTATAAATTGCCCACGTGACCCTGGACAAGTGACCTAACCTGCCTGAGTCTCAATTTCATCTACAATATGGTGATAATAGCTCCTGTGCTGTCGAGAGGATTGTTGTGGGTAACAGACATGGGATTCTGAACCCGAGGTCTACTGCACACTGTACACTCGGCTGGCTCAGGCCTGCTGCAGGAGAGGCAGAGCAGGCAGAGGCCGGTCCCCACACCTGCTGTAAGCTCTCAATGGGCTTCTTCACCCAGTGAGCTTATGAGAGCTCAGTGGCCAGCCCGTGAGCAGGAAAGYGGCCTCATCCATCTCCATTAGCATCACAGAACTGAAGGTAGCAAAGAGGTTTAGTTCCTCTAAGGGTGTTCTGGGGAACACTGATCCCAAGAGGTTCTGGACTTGCCAGCCTCTGGAGACCAAGGGCGTGCRTGGGCAGACAGCTCTGAGGATTCATATGGGAAGAAATCCTATTGTTAACCATAACGTTTCTCTAACACGTGTGGCCACGGAACCCCTCCTGGCTTAAAAGCTGTTAGTATCCAGCCAAAGAAGTGTCCCTAGGAACACAGCTGGAGAAACATGTCTAGCTCGATCCCTAAGCCAGGCAGACACACGGGCGCAGGGAGAAGCAGAGCCACTCATTTTGTTCTGAATTAGTCCAGAAAACAGCCGGCTCATGAGGCGTAGGCTCTGTGGACATCGTCAGGCAGCCCAGAGAGCACAAGGGGTAGACTCTGTGACCTSATCAGGCAGTCAGAGAACACAGGTGGCTCACGAGGCGTAGACCCTGAGCTGTTGGGTCTGCGTAGACTCTGCCTCTGCCCTCAGTCTCCTCATCTGTTAACGGGGCTGACYGTAGAGCCAGGCTCACTCTGGGTTCGCCCTCGCCTCTGCCACTTGCTAGACYTTTGGCCTGAAAAAGTTATGGCACCTGAGCTTCAGTTTCTTTGTGAAATGGGGATCCTAACAGCAGCTGGCTCAGAGAGGGGGTGAGGACCAAACAGGATGAAGAGCTCAAGAGACCGTTCACTAGATGATGCTTGTTGAACTAGAGACCAAAGGCAGCTGTGAGGCCACCCCCCAAGCCTTCTGGTACTTCGCCTCCCACTCTCCTGCCACCATTGATGGACACACAGGCCCACATTCCAGACTATATATGCCCATTCTTACCCCTAACATTTTCTACAGTCTGACCAAGACCTCGCTGACCCAACATGATTCAAACACAGAAGAAATAAACCAGGGTCCCTCTCACAGAGGAACAGAGTCACCAGGGAGGGGGGGACACGCACGCCCTTCCTGGAACTCCCTGGCTGGCYGTGCACACGTCACAGTAAGCCAGAAGCACTTCTCGGGACTTTGAAGAGAGACACGTACCTTTTTCCTAAAGCAGTAACCATGGCCTCAAAGGAGCTATCATATCTGAGCAAGGGAAGGCTGTGTCCCGAAAGGGTGGATTCAATGAACTCCGACAGCCCGAAGTACTTCTTGTTTTCATGGTACAAGTCCACTCCCTAAAACAGACACGAGCCTCAGTCACTCAAAGGCTACACTTGCAGGGAAGAGCAGGAATCACAGGCCAGGCTTGTGGACAACCTGCACTGGCACCTTGAACTAGACTGTGCTGGCTGCTGTCCCCRGGGGTCACCTTGGAAACATCACCCTGCCACCCTTCTTCAGGGATGGTACACCCCCATCGACCGCGTCTCCCATTCCTTTGGCCCCATAATYTTCCGCAGGGAGAAAACTCAATCTTTCTTTTTCTTTTTTTAAACATGTAAATTTCTTTGTGAAAATTTTTKTCCACAATTTTAATTTGGTTTTAGGAACAGATGAATCAACTCTTTTGTATTCTTTTGCCATTAAAATCAGGAGGGGGGAAAAACACATTTCTCTAGCCAATCTTACWTTGACATAAAATTCCTCCCAAACCAACATCAGAACTTCTCAAACTTCAGAGCGGAACACAGCTGAGAAGGCTGTTTGAAACACGAAGGTGTGAGTTCTATCCTCAAATAGGGTGGCTCAGGGCCAGGGCCAGGGGTCCAGCAGCTGGGTCATAGCATGGGTCCACCACGGTCTCAGGCAAGTGGCGAACCCCTGYCTCATCCTCCCCGAGGGTCCATCAGAAACTTTCTCAGCACCTGCACTGGCATGTGCTCAAAGGCAGAAGCAGGTAGGGTCCATGGCAAGGGCCATGTCAACAGTGGCTGTGACCTCACTGGGGGGGAGCCCACAGGTCTGAAGGTGAGCATCAGCATCTAAGTGCTCTGATGAGTGAAGAACCCTGAAGAAATCCAGAATTCTAGGATGGCGTAGTCCTTGTGTAAATAGCTAGAATCCAACCACCCAGAATCCTCAAACTACCAGAACTGGTTTGGTCTTCCACTCTGATGAGAAATGGCAGGTGATAAGCAAAGGTTGGAGGGTGTGTGCTCAGTGTGAGGAAGGAGATTTGGAGCGTGGCTGCCGAGGAACTGGAGATAGGAAAAACAGGAACATCTCCAAGGCTGCAAGCTAGGCACAGAGGTGCTCTGCATGGAGCCCAAATCCCCAGAGCCCCCAAGCCTTGATTTCCAACATCTTTATCCCATGCCATGAAAGCAAGTGTTCAAAAGGCTGCTCACAGCGATGAGGGGACAAAGTGCCAAGCACTGTACTATGTCACTAAGATGGGCACCAAGTGACAGACTTGAGGAAGTTTTCCAAAAAATACCGAGAAGGCTTTAAAACTAACCCTTGGTTGAGGATCCACAGAGCTGGAGCCCACTCATCCCTCCAATGACACCAGTCCAGACTTTGGCTACACTCGACCTCTCCACCCTCAAGCCTCCCGAGGTCCAGCAGCACTCACGTTACTGTAGGAGACGGGCCAGTGGATCTCGTTGTAGGGGCTGATGAGGGTGTGTTGTGTCTGCAGCGCGTAAGGGAAAGAGGTCACATGAAGGGTCACGATGTTGGGGGCCTCCTTCACCTCCCTGCAGTTGAGTAGTCGGTCCACCAGTCCCACAGGCGGGTCACTTTGAGAATAGAGGTTATGAACAGCACTACTGAGGGGGGGAAGGAGAAAGACAGCATTACGCCTGCAGCTTTGCAAGTCTATCAGGACAAAGCAGTTACACATTTACAACCAGCCCCTAACTGTGCCTGAAGCTGAAGCTTATGGCTCTGTCCACGACCAGAAAAAGAAAACATGCTTGGACTTCAGACACCGGTCAGGAACTCCCTACCACTCCTTCCTGGAGGAAAGCTGGATGGGTGGGGTGACTGTAGAGGATTCTCACAGGATACATAATGCGTCTACCTTGGAACAGCGACTCGCACCCAGGAGTGCCCACTGTCCACCTTTGGCCCAACTTGGCTGTGTACCACCTCCTTCAGGAGGCGATGGCGATGCAGGTGAGGAAGGGGCTCAGGGGCCAGATGAGCCTTCTAAAGTCCTACTGAGTGTCAATGATCCAAGGAGGGGAGAAAACGGCCAATGTAGAGCACTACGGGGACAGGAATGGGGAGCTTTGGGGCCAGGGCTCTGAGAGACAGGCCCAGCTTGGCTTTGCAGCGAGGAATGGCCTCAGGGTCCTCCTCTGTAAATCCAGGGGAGACAGAAAGATCAGCACTTCACTTTTTGGGTGGCAGGAAGCCACTCTTGAGAAATCTCCCCCCAAATGAAGATTTACAGATAGCTTTTTCTATCATTTCAGAATAATCAGATTCACCAAACCCACATCCGCTGATGGATTATAAACCTTTGACCTATGTGATCCTCCATGCCCTGGCCAACCTAGCTCTGTGACCCTCACCCACCTCAGCATAATACCTACCTGCATAACCCCAAGGCCAAGGCCCCGGAAATGACCTTTCCCAGTGAACAACCAGCAGACCCTGCCACTTCTGGCTGACCTACCTGAAATTCATCTGGGTTGACATTCATTCTAATTGAGTAAAATTGCCCTCAGGAAGGCCGGGCACCAGCCATGATCCATGGTCCTGGAGTTGCAGGGCCTCCAAAGCAGAGGGGTGGGGCTGGGGCTTCTCCTGTGAGGACCCCTTCCCCAACATGCACCAGTGTGGCTGCCTGTTGCCAGTGGGTCATGGAGAAAATGTGACAGGCTGCCAYTCAGGGGCCCTGACTGCCAGCCAGCTCTGCCACTAACCCCTGCCCCAGCCCCGACCCTGAGCCGACGTTTCCCTTTCCAGCCCTCAGCTCCCACAGTGATAAACTTCAGAGGCTGTGTTAGGTGATCCCCGAGACAACACCTGGCTCTAAGACTCTAGAAAGCACCGTGGCACCTGCCACAATACCAAGCCCCAGCAGACCGCTTCYCTCGGCCCCAAGTGTCATCCATATTTGGAAGGAAGAACGTGTCAACTGCCAATGACCATTGGGTCTGACCTCACAAGATCCCAGTGGGCGTGATCGTGGATTAGCACAAAGAGCGTATGCGGGTTCTGGAAGGAGTTTTGCAGAAAGGCCTTAAATCTCGTCTGCGCCTCTGCATCTAGCTTCAGAACGTACTGCTCCACCCGCTGCTTGGTCATGGGCTCCTTTTCCAGGCCAAGCTCCAGTAAAACACCTGCAACACAGCGAACACGTCAGCAGCTCCAACACTGCCKGCTCGTTCCTGCAGATAACAGATGACCATCTCCTACACGGCAGGCCCCAGCTGCAGGGGTGTGGACTGCAGGACAGCTGAGCAGAGGGCCCTCCTGAAACTGCTCTGCATGGGCGAGGGAGGGGGCCTGGCTGTGTGCATGGCAGCCACCCAGGGCACAGCCAGGCGGGCTCCATGAAACCAGGTGAGACCAAAGAGGAGGCAGAAGTGCCTCATCCAGCAAAGCCACTTCTCAGTCGGAATGCACAGATGTTACCTCATGCCACTAAGAGTGACTGCATGGAGTTGAGACATCGGGGAAAATGTTAAGTCATTGGCTCAAGGGACACAGAGAAGGTTCAGGTCCTGGTTCTACCTTGAAGAGATTCTAAACTCTTGGGCAGGTCACATTGCTGAGCATTGATGTGTACAACTGGGGCAATAATAGTTGCTCATCTTTTTAATAGCAAAGGACGCTGTTCACACCCAAATGTGGGTTTATGGAGAGAAGAGCTCCTCCACCAGGCCTCACGTCCCCCAAAGGCCCCATACCTGAATGCCAGACGTGGAACAGGGTCTGCTGGTAGGTCACTTCCGAGGGCGGAATGCAAATTAGAAAGTCCACCTTCTCGAAGGAGCCCAAGTCCAGGTTCTGGGTGCTGGAGTCCGCAATCGAGCACACGTGGGAGAGGAGCTTCTGGGCCACTGCCAGCTGGAAGGGCCGGACACCACGCGGCTCCAGATGGCAACCTGCAGCCAGAGCCCCAGGCGCCAGGTGAGCCCAGAGCAGACGGCTACTGCCGGCCCTTGGCTATGGAGACAAGGAGTGAGCCAAGCCCCGCCCAGGGGGAAGGGGAAATCACATCTGCCCAGTGCCACTCTCAGCTGTGCGCCAGGGAATCACCAACGCATCTCTCTTCCTTAACAATGCCAGGATGAGCCAAAGCCCAGGAAACAAAGAAGTGACGACTCTGCTGGAGGAGGGGACGAGGGCAGCACCCGGGAGGTGACAGTGAAGCTGGACTTTGGAAGAAGTCTGCAAGCTCCCCAGGAAGGAAGGAAACCTCACAGCTCCTCAGAACTCCATGTAGATTAAAAATCCCAACAACGCATGGATGAGGTTGCAGGAGGAAAGAAGGTGTTGTCTTTAAAGACCAAAGTTCAAATCAGGCACTGGTCAACTCTGAGATGCCCCACCTGGATGTCACCTCCTCAAAGCTCCCAGAGCCCTGTGAGTGCAGCTTCACCAGGGCAGACCCAACCCCAGCTTCCTCCAACACCACTACACATACCTGTGCCTCCCCATCACTCACTGTGTCACCTGTGCCCCCCCATCACTCACTTGTGCACACAGGTGTCCCACTGACGTCCAGGGCTGCTGCTTGAGTGACAGAGGAGGCAGGGAGCGGGGAAGAAACATGGCCTTGATTTTCCTGATGGAATTTGTCCAGTAGAATGTCCATGTCCCCCTCTGYCCGAGACAGAACAAACAGAAGTGGGCCTCCCCTCTCATGGATCTCAGGAAGCACCCCTGGACCAGCTGCCGCGTGCCTGGTGCCTTCCTGAGGCCCAGGTAATGGGAACAGAGACATGGCTGTCCAATCAAGGAGTCCACAGCCCAGTGAGGACACAGGTATGTCCACCACGTCCACTGTGCCATGACAAGGCAGGTGCAGGCAGAGTGAGAGGGAGCCCTAAAGGTAGAGAGGCAGGGTCCCCAGGCCCTCCTGAAGAGGGGAGGGTGTGAAGCTCCCTAGGGGGACAGGGGAACCAGGCGGGGGGTGGGGGGGCAGGTGCTGGCAGCACCAGACACACAGGAAGAGCTCTCCAGGGAGAGGCCTCGGGCAGTTTGGGACTTGGAGTGGCCCAGTTGGGGGGAAGGAGCACTAAGACAGTAAGCACGTTCCCAGCCCCTGGAGAACCCTGCAGCCCCAGCAGGAAGAGAGAGCCAGAAACCATGGCCCCAGCGGGAAAAGGAAAGGAAGGTGAGCACCAGTGCACAGACGGGGGCCATAGCGCACCGTGCTCAGCCTCGGGAGGCCACAGGTTCGACGCTGGCACACACTACCCCCCCCCACACACACACATTTACTGCACCAGCCTCTCAACCTACCTGGGCAGAGGGTGCTAAAAAAGGCCCCCAAGGAGTCCACCTTCCCCGTCACCAGCTCGTAGTGGACTTCCCTCTGGTACTCCGCTGGGCTGAGGAGGCTCTCAGAAAGAATCCGGGCTTGGTATTTTCCTGGAAAACAAACCACAGCTTCTACTGCCTCTGTTTGGAACCTTTAAGCAGAGGGTCCTGCCTTGGTGTCTCTCCCCCACCCCAAGTCCAGCACCACACCTGGCAAAAAGCAGGTGCTCCTGTAGGTTAAATGAATGGATGGCATACACCACCCTGTCCCAGGGTACCGGGATAATAAGAGGGACCCAAAAGGCTGAGGTCACTTAGAGAAAACCCTTGGATGCCACCATCTCCTTCATCCAGCTGCATCACCTTGGACTGGTCACCTACCCTTCTAGACCCATAGACCTCATCTGTACCAGGTGACTGACAGCAGCCTCAGTCTCACAGGCTTGCCGCCAGGTGACACAAGAAAAGGGTGGTGGACACACACAGAGGCTCCAGGTTCATTACTGAATGGCTGCTTAAATCCAGGTGAAGAATTAGTAAAAAATGAGTTTAGGATCAAAGAATGTTAACGGCAACTGAGACACTACATAGGAACAACGTGCATTTTTTAGGCAGATAGAGATACAAAAATTCGGGTTGAAAATACTCAACATCYAGGAACCTAGGAACCAAAGGTTCCTGAATTTGGTGTCAGGTTCCCAACCAGGACCTTACTCCAGGAGGGCACTTGGATCCCCAGCCCCTGGAGTGACAACYGTGCACAGCAGGTTTTCAGAGAGTATTTTTATACTTAGTTAGCAAGTTGGCTCATTAACCCCCAGAAATACTCAAAATACATTGTTCTTATCCCCATTTGATGAAGACATTAAGGACCAGAATCTTGGTGTGAGTGGTYAGCCAGAGTGCTGGGCACTTAGTGGAACCAGATTTGCAACCAGATCTGTTTGGACCCCAAAGTTGGCCCTAATCTCTCCAGGGAAGAAACAGGACCTGCTAACCACCCGCTAGAGCAGGAATGGAATTTTAKCGAAGCCCATCTTCTGGGCCTTGAGCCGGGGCACCAGACTGCCTTCCAAAATGATACCTGGCAGACTTCAGGTATCACCGGCTCTTGCAAACCCAGGGTCCCCAAGGCAAAAGGGAAGGACCCACCAAGGACAGGGCCTGGGAAATCAAGGTGGCTGGTTTTCCCACCAGCCAAGAGGTGGCCAGCTCACCAGTGACAGCAATACAGGAGTCAATGGCCGCGTTCCGGCAGGCACAGATGATGACCACGTAGTTGGTCTTGGCAAGTTTGCCCTCAATGAGCAGGCGGAACATCTCGGAGAGGCCCTCGGCCAGGGAGTAGGCACACTCAATGACGTGCACGCTGTCGTTGCAGGAGCTGGCGGCCAGGCCAGCCAACCAGGGCAGCTGCGCAGAGGTCACTGGTGTTGTGGTGCTTGGCGCAGGTGGGTAGGGCTGGGACGGCACCTGCTGGTACTGCCGGATCTCAGTCAGGTGCGACTCACGCCAGGAGCGGAGGAAGATCTGCTCCAAGTCCTCCATTAAAGGCACCTGGTCTGCCGCTGAGGAAGGAGGTGGAGGACATCAGTGGGTGTGCGAGGTGTAGGGCACAGTCAGCCTGACACCAGTGTGGGACATCTTAGAATAACACAACCGAGGCTGTCACTGTGGATAGTGGCTACAACAGCTGAGAACACAGGAGGGTGTGAAGCCTGCCTCCTGCCTAGAACCACACCTGTGCTCCCCCTGGCCTACGGCCCTCACTGTCCTCCTCCTCTCACGACCCTCACCTGTGCTCCCTCCTACCATGGCCCTCACCTATGCTACCCCCCACCTATGACCCTCACCTGTCCTCCTCCTCCCATAGCCCTCACCTGTGCTCTCCCTGGCCCATGGCCCTCACTGTCCTCCTC